ACTTCTGTCTTCTCTATATTCACCTGAAGTCCCGTCTTAGCTGCCTCTTCTATCAACTTGTTAGTTTTTGCCTGCAGATCTTCAAGTTTGTGTGACATTAGGCATAAGTCATCGGCGAAATCCAAGTCTTCTAGGTTCTTTTCCGTCGTCCAGTGTATCCCCCTCTTCTCGCTGCCTACTGTTTGCTGCATGATCCAGTCCACCACAATAAGGAATATCATGGGGGATAGTAGGCAACCTTGTTTCACTCCTGTCTTCACTTCAAAGGCATCACTGAGCTTCCCATTGTGAATTACTTGGCATGTGGCATCTTCATATAGTTGTTGAATGAGGCGGATAAAGGTTTGCGGTACTCCGTAGTATTGAAGCAGTTTCCAAATTACTTCTCGGTCGACGCTGTCAAAGGCCTTCTCAAAGTCGATGAAGTTGAGGTAGAGAGCTGATTGCCATTCTATGCTCTGTTCTATGATGATACGAAGCGTTGCAATTTGGTCTGCACATGATTTGTACTTCCTGAAGCCTGCCTGTTCCGGTCGTAGTTTTGAATCCAGTGCATCTTTAAGCCTCTCCAGGATGATGCGGCTTAATATTTTACTTGCTCGGGTGGACAGGAGAGTGATTCCGCGCCAGTTCTTGCAAGCACTGAGGTCTCCCTTCTTCGGCAGTTTGACAAGGTAACCCTTCTTCCAATCAATGGCCAAGTACCTTCTCTTCCTTCCACACCTTCTGCAATAGTGGTGTGGTGTGAGCATATCCGCTGTTGTCTCTGCATCTGTTCTCAGTGCTTCTGGCGGTATCCCATCTGGTCCTGCTGCTTTCCCGCATTTCAGTAGCTTTATGGCGTTCAGGACTTCCATTTTCGTTGGGGGATTAATGTTCACTTGTAATTCAGCGGCTGCAGGTGGTATTTCTGGACGAAGTGCAGGTGGTGGTCGATTCAAGAGCTTCTTGAAGTGGTCGGCCCATCGTTTCCTCTGTTTCTCTTCTTTCGTAATTAAATTTCCTTCTTCATCTTTTATTGGTTTCATCTGTGTTGGTCTCTTCCCTGATAGCAACCTGGTTATTTGATACAATGTCGTCAGGTCTCTCTTCCACCTGCAGCCTGTTCTGCTTCACTTGCCAGTGTTTCGTAGAAGTGTCTTTTGTCTTTCCGTGCACTCTTCTTCACTTCTTTGTCCAGTGTTTTATACATTGTGCTCAGTTCCTCTTGTCGTTGAGCATCCTTGCACTGGTTTATCTTCTGCTTCACCATCCTCCTCTCCTCTATCAGCTTCCAGGTATCCGTCGAGATCCATTCCGTCCTTATCTTCTTTCTTCTTCCTTCCTAATACTGTTGTGCAGGTTTCTTTCCACATAGCTTTCAAAGACTTCCAGTGTTCTTCCACACAGGTTTCTTCAGGGATGTTCCTCGATATCTCCCATTTTGTCTTGATGGCTGACGTGAAGATTTCCTTTGTAGTTTCATCCTTCAGTTTCCGAGTGTTGTACTTGAGTTGAGGTCTATCACCAGCTTCCTTGAAGGCTTTTAACTTGATTTGGAAGGTTCCTTGCACTAGACAGTGAGTGGTCTGAACCTACATCTGCTCCTCTTCTTGACCTTGTGTTAAGTAGACTGCGTCTCCATTTTCTTGAGATTGAGATAAAGTCGATTTGATTTTTAGTGTGTCCATCTGGTGAAATCCATGTCGCTTTGTGGATATCTTTGTGCTTGAACACACTGCCTCACCTCCAATCACCAAATCGTTGAATGCACAGAATTCTGCAAACAATTCTCCATTCTCGTTCATCACCTCACCTAGCGCCTCTCGACCCATGGTTAGTTCTCTTCCTGTGTTGTCCCCTCCCAGTTTGGCATTCATGTCGCCCATTAGAATTTTGATATCGCCAACTGACGTCTTGTCCAGTGTTGATTGAAGTTGTCTGTAGAATTCCTCCTTTTTCTCTTGCTCTGCATTATTTGTAGGTGCATAACATTGTATGATTGTGACCTTCCTTCCTTTTGAGTTGAATCTTGCTGTCATGATCCTGGAGGGGATTGGTTCCCACTGCATGAGAGCCTTCGATGCTCTTGAGGACATCATGATAGCCACTCCCTCAGTGTGCTCGTGGTTGGCGTCTGGGTGACAACATCGGAGTAGATTATTGATTCTCCAGTTGACAGTTTGGAGAGTCCACTCCCATTCCATCTGCTTTCGCAAATCCCAAGCACTTCGATGTTATACCTTCTCATCTCCTTTGCAATCTGGGCTGCCTTACTGGGTTCAAACATCGTGCGGACATTCCATGTCCCCACGTTTACTTTCGCTTTCATCGAGCGAGAGAAGACACATCGGCCAATTGGCTTCCCGAAGGCTTTCACCAACTGGCGTCATTTCGCCTCTCCGATTCCAGCGAGGAATAATTTTGTTTTCATTTTTTATATTTTGTTTGTGCTTTGAAGTTTCTTTAGCGGTTAGATTTGTTTTACGGGGTAGGGTTGCTAGCCCTATGCCCAACCTTCCCTCTTTACCCGGGCTTAGGACCGGCTAGTAACTAGTAAACTAGTTAACCAGGCGAGGTTACCTTCGGTGATAGTAGCGCTATATCACGAATTCACAGAAATTGGAAAATGTGAACTCAGACCCAGTGGGTGGATGGTTTATTTGTTTGTCGTAAAGCCTAAACGTCCTGAGTTCTATCTTTGGCCAGGTCGTGGGTGTGATGTGACCACTTTGTCTTTCATAATAGGGTGTTTACTCTCACAGATCTTTAGTATTTATCTTGACTTCTCAATTTCATTTATCAGTTTAAAAGCATTTCACATAAATTTAGGTTAAACTATGCAGATCTGACATCATTTCTAATTTTCATATGATACTTTATTTATGTTTTCTGTGCTATTCCTCTTCTGATGCATAAAGTTTATGCTAAGTCGAAAGCCTTAGGTTTATTGGACAAATGCAATGCACTTATCGGATGACATTACTTTCAGTGTGCTGAATTCAATTGATCCTTATTTCTTATGTATACTTAAAGCTGAATTAAGTTGCTTCAGTATGATTATTTTGAGTAGTTTTAAGCAAGTAACAACTATTGTGAGTACATGACTTTGTACAGTCCTGCATAGTAAGTCTAAACTTCCAACTATAGACCCTTTGTTGAAAATGAATTGATTTTGGTTAGCGTTTGTCATTCAAAAAGCACAGCTGCCATATGATTCCGTTAAGTTTTCCGTATTACTGTCAGTACTGTAAATAAAACTTACCAATTCGTGATAACTTCATTAAATTTGTCAGATCAATTATTGAAGTAAATTACCAAGGTTGATAAATTTTAGTTATCCACTTGTTAACACAGGCCGTTTTGGTAACAATAGTACCTTGTGATATTGGAGACAAGAAACACAAGAAGGTGTTAGCCAGTTCTAAAGATGTAATGATAGCCCAATAACCCACTTGCTGTATGAAGAACGAATTCAAACCTTAATTAATGAATAATAATTTATGACTTATATTGACTGATCACTTGAGGGTGGTTCCCCTTCATATTGTCTAGTTCCAAGCACTAATCGAATTCAATCGATCATTTTGAAGTGTAGCCACCAAAATAGGATGTTTACCATCGCGATGAACCAAGATAGATGTTAGTTGCATGGAGGCAATCACTATGGCTTCCTCCCAATTGCCTCCATCTTACTGACAGTTTATGGTTTCTCTGAAAAGTGAGATTGCTGTCATCAGGCATGTGATGAAATCTCATACTTGAGAGAATACCAAACGACATTTTTCCTCTATATTATGTTCGACAATAGGAAATATGAATATTCGTTTTCTGACTACTATAGATCACTGATAGGAGAAGATTTTTAAAAATAGCTGCCTAAAACTGATGAGTTATGAACTGATTTTCAATAAGCAACGAAATTGCCTAGGGAATTAATGATAAACGACTTCATGTTGCCGACTGATTACTTAACTTTAACCTTTATTTAAGTTTAAACATAACGCTAAAAGAAGAAACATAAGCGTCAAAACTATCCGGAGTAGACGTTTCACATCTTCAACTTTCAGTTATTATAATTGGTCGATTTCAAGGTTATCTGGTAAGCTGTCGATTTCGGATCGCTAATTTTCATCTTCACTTGTTTCTGTTCCGACGATGGGTTGTATTGACTGAATCACATGTGATTCAAAAAACAAACTGTGCATCTTAAAGTTATGGTCTAGTCAACTCTGAGTAAATAACATAAAGAAATCATGGTTATTTTACAGCTTTTATTCATTAATATTACTCAAAACGTTTGTTTCGTTCTCATATCAACTGATACTTGGTTGGTACAATAACAAACTGATTCTCTTGACCAATAAAGTACTCAAAGAACAATTATATTGTTATAGATAAACTAGTAAAATGGTATATTGAAATACGTGCGTAGACAACTGTAGTGCTTGCATAGGGTCGAACAAAATCATCAGGATAAGCTAATCAACCTTCAATGGAGGAATTCTCAGTCTACAGTATACAGACGTTTGTACTGATTATCCTATGTAGAAGCATAATAAAAGCTTTGAAATTAAACCAACTAGTTCAGAGAAATCGTGCTGGCCACGAAACCTGAAGGTCGCGGGTTTGGTACCTGGCAGAGTTGTGAGTGCGCACTGCCGAAGAGTCCCATACTTGGCAAAATAGCTGTCCAGTGTTCCCAGGTTTCCTTCATTCCTCCAACTGATATCAGTCTACGATGAATAACAACTTGAAATATTTCCCAATCCCCATAACTCCCTTCTTTAAATATTTCTTATTGAGTTTATTATGCGGAAGGTGAATACAAATCACTGAAGATTGAATTGTCCGTTGGAAATTTCGACTATTCAGGTTAAGCACTGTATTTTACTAACCAAAACATGTGATCATTGTAGGGTTATAAGTTTCTTTTTGTTTTCAAAAAAAACTGTTACTACTTTTCAATAATTTAAGTGATTTTTCTATTAAAAAAAACATATTTTATTCCACTTTATCAGCAATTAGAACATCATCTTGATTTGTGTAAATTACGTAAGAGTAATGGGCAAGCTCATTTTATGGAACTAGAAAGCATATTTCTAAAACAATCAAATATTGAAAGGATGAAAAAGGGGAATAAATTGGACAAACCTTCAAGTTCACGAAGAGTAAGTAATCCCTTCATCTATAGATTATTTTTAAAACCAAAGGTTAACTAACTTTATTGCTGATTTTAAGAACAAGATTTTCAGGCGTTAGATATGACTTATATTCCTGTAAGTTACACAACATTCGAAATGAGACAATTCAAATGTTTCACATGAAAATTCTATCCAAACTTTTACACTTTCGTGCGAAATGTTGTTATTATATTATATAATTGATATTGGTTGTTGATTGAAGATGAAATGAAAATTTGGACCACGGTCAGATTCGAACCAGTGACCACCGGGTTTCTGGCCTGATGCTCTACTAACTGAGCTACGACGTCCAACTGATGACCAGATTTTTATTTCACTCAAATCACTATGGGCTTTACCCGACTACCATGTGAATTCATGATGCGTTACTACCGCTTGATCGTATTCACACTGACTGCCTAATCAGGACTTCTTATCCCAATCCAAACCTAACTGATTTAGAGAGGAGGGACATCAAATTAATTATCATTTTGAATAGCTGTGCTTTGGTAGACTAGCATTAATTGTGAGTAGAGCGCCGGGCAGGAAACCTAATGGTTGCTTGTTCGAATCCCGCCGCGGTTCAAATTTTCACCTCGCCTTCAATCATCACTTAGTATCAATACCAGTCTGCCAAATCACGTCTATCTCAAGTAGTCAAAGTGATAACTTTAAATAATGCCAATCTTTTACTTGGCGTCCAAAACTTGTCATACTAATCGGTCAAGTCTTGGTCATAGTTCATCCAAATTTTCTGTAATGTTCAGTTTGAAAACTTTAGGTACAACAGGTTATCGAGGATGAATTTGACGGTATTTCATGACTGTTTAGGGCTACACAAGACGACAAATATGTCAATCTCCTCATGTCTTTGTTGAAACACTGAGTATGTTTAATCCGACAGAAGGCTGTGAACTAGTTAACCTGCTGATGATTTGATTAGATTAACCATTTAGACGTTTTTCTCTAGGAGACCATAAAAGATGCTGACAATACGGCAAACTGTTACACAAAGGTGGGATACTTGAACAATTATTTTCTGTGTCAGCTGATATTTTATTACCAACTTTAAAACATAATCGACTGTGTCGTAGATATTATATTGACATCATTCGTCGCTTTTGACAGTCCCAAAGAAGCACTAAATACATAACAATTGAGCCTTATATACTACTGGAAGCGTGCGAGTAGTTGACACTTCCCCGCTGCATATACTGTGGAAGGCTATTTCTTCCTAAAGTATCTAAAAGAGAAGACGATTTACATGACCACAGGGCCCAAGAAATATTTGCTTAAAGTCTTTTGCAGGTTGTTGTTTTGAGGTTTGGTTGTTCTAACACCGGAGAGAGGAAACCCATACCGACGACACCGAAGACCGTGGGGCAGGGAGGAATGCGGTATTTTTTGGATCGACCATTTCTAACCCTACCAGGAAAGGCAGCATTAGCGTGGTACTGATGGTCATCCGAGGGAAACACCGAACTGCTGTCACACCCCATCCAGCCAACAGTACAACTTCGCCATCAGACACCCATCATAGTGTAGCAATTTACACTGCAATGGCAATTACTTTTCATCTTGCCACTACCCAACAGACCTTCCTGGTAGGACGTCGAGGAAGGTGGCGTTGCAGCCAATGTAGTTCACTGGGTCATTTTGATATGCAAGCCTGACCACCAACGTCAAGGTAGCAGCTATCAGCCGGACTTTTGTTGTCATAGCTGAAAATTGTTCAGTGACCCAGATTCATTCACTATCTGACGTTTTCTAAAGCGCTTTGCACTAACCTTTATCTTCAGATTGTTTGTCTTCACACAACACTTTGACATCATACTAATTCTATCCACCTGTTCTTTTTATAATACTGTGAAGTGTGGCAACTTGAACCGATGCACTTGTGTACAACGTTCCACGTTTTGTCTGTCTGCCTGTCACTATATATATATATATATATATATATATATATATATATATATATATATATATATATATATATATATATATATATATATATATATCAAAAGAAGAATTAAAATACGTAAATCTCTTATACACGAATTCTTCTAACTACGAATAACATTCAAATGACCTAAATCTTTATTATGTTACATATTCTGATCAAGACAAATAAAGTCAAAGATAATTTCCTGAGTACCCTCCAATCCGTTTCGTTATACAGTTTCTCAGAATCTATTGTAGAAGATTTCAACGACCCTTTTGTATCACTTTATTATTATTATTTGTCCCTTGGGTTCCTAATGGAACATACGGCTTCAGTAGCACGTCTCAAGTGCGCTCCGTTCTCTGAAATCTTTTCAACCTGGTTCCACGAAAGTCCACAAGCTCTCATCTCTTCCTAACACGATCTCCTCCATGTCAACCTCGGATGTCATACTCGTCGTTTCCCATCTAGGTTCCACTCGACGGATGGTCTGGAGCCTGATGTCCCCAGTCGGCTTTCTCAGTGTATGCCAATTCCAATCCATCTCCACTTCCTTCTGCATATTTGTTGAGTGATAGGTTCTTGGTTGATTCGTTAACAGTACAGAGTTCCTTGTTGCTTATTCTTGTTATTCTGGCCATCTGAGCTTCAGTATCGAGCAGGTGTAGGCAGTTGTTGATGAATGTCTGTAGTTTGTTGGAAATGCCTTTCGTAACGCACCAAGTCTCTGAACCATACCACTCAGAGTCATCCTTTTCCCTTGTCGAGTAGACCGAAAATAGGAATCCTAAGTCACACTACAAGGCTTAGATTAAGAGATAGTTTTCATTGATGAATCCTACGTATTTGTATGCCAGACACTACAATGCCAGCAAGGCTGTAGCTGTGTCTTCTCCGAGGGTCGGTCGGTATCGCATAAGTTATGGGGCCGATGAACCGACGAGATATGGCCAGGGTGTGTGTCTAGAGTTATGTTAGAACAACTAGAGTTAGCTCGGAAGAACGCTCAGGATGATCATACTAATACGTAGTCTTCATCAATGAAAACTATCTGTTAATCTAAGCCTTGTAGTAAGACTTAAGATTCATATTTTCGGTCTACTCGACAAGGGAAACGGATGACTCTGAGTGGTATGGTGCCGAAAACATCTCACTTACATATCTGCGTTCATACCTGATCTTCATCCTAACCGTTCCATAACATTTTGTTCCTCATTTTATTCACTCTTCTGTTTTACCTCTGCATTTCGACAACAGGCATAAGGTATATCTCAGCCAACTCAGTTTATGAAAGCCTAAATTGTCATCAACCAACCTACCTCCCTTATTGATCGCACTTTCGACGCTACGGTCCAGACACTGAATGGCATGTCTGCAGAATATAAACGACTGGGTGGTTCTGAAGTACAAACAGTTCGCCAGACATCTCATTCCTCTGCCTCACCCTCTGGCTACACACACCCTGACCATATCTCGTCGGTTCATCGACCCGGTAACTTATGTGATTCCAACCAACCCTCGGAGAAGACATAACCATCGCCTTGCTGGCATTATGGTGCCTGGCATTTCGTCAAATCTTGTCCACCTAAGCAACATCGGTCCCGGGACTGTATTACTGCGGGCCATAAGAACGGTTTTTGATGCCAACACACACAATGACGTGTACAAAGGTCATCCTCCAGATATCGGTGCAGATCCCACTCTCGATCGGCTCATGCACTTGCCGACCGAAAGAATATCGAGAAGACTTCTGATCCCCTAGTAAACAAGAAGAAATTCCCTCTGCATCGGTCAGATGGATGCAAGAAAAAGACAGTGCTGCCCAGTCTGACGCCAAATAACATTCTTTCGAAGAGAGAGGTGATATAGGGATAGAGAGAAATGACTAGTCTGGAGGGAGACTAATCAATGTGTTTGTCATCACGTCTACAGTTAGACAGACAGACGGTGGACTAGCCAGTCAATGCGACTATTTTAAACAGCAAGAACTATTTATATATTAGCTGTATTCTGCTTTATTTTTAGTCCTTCAGTCTTTCGAGCCCGCCACACATTCCTATAAGTCCATCGTGTCTTCTCCATTAATTGGTCGGCTCGGGAATCAACTAGGAAATTTATTGAACGTTGGTGGCTGACACTCAATATCCGTGCATTCTTAGAGGTCATAGCACATAGGAAATTTCTATGCCTAACCCTTACATTAATCACTTGACGACTTCATGACCCACGGATGTTGCTGGAGGTAATGGTTTTCAAACAACTTGAGCCTTTTAATGTTCTTTAACCTTGATAGTCAAGCTTCATTTACATTGAATACGAGAGAGTAAACTGCTGTACACAAGCGGTGGCTCTCATGCTCTAGTGTACAACGCTTTGGCGTTTGAGGCGATGGGTATTGGGTTAGAGCCCCAGTTGAAACAACATCACTCACTGGGGTGTAGGTATATCCAGCTGATGAGTCCCAAGTAGGACGAAACGCGCGTCCTGGATTCCATTGCGAGTCACCAAGAGTAATACGTTCAACCATTGTCGGTCTTACAAGTGGTGTAAATTAGCAAAGGTAGTCGAACGCCTTGTATCGTAGACGAGACTTCCTTTACTTCAATGTGCATACACCAGGAGTAATATAGAAATAAGAAATTAGTGAATCCCCACCAACCAACTTTGTTCATAATGACAACAAAGCCATTTATTTACGAAAGTCTTGAAGATTATCTAATTCTGAAAAGACAATGGCTAAACCTGAGGTCAGTTAATAGAAAAACCGATAAAGGAAATGCACACAGATTAACTCCTGCTGCCAAACGCACAGATTACAACCATCCAACTAAGGACTGACTGACACTGACAAAATCAACGTAAAACCTGGCACACAGGTGCATAAGCTCAAGTTGTCACACTTCACAGTAGTACACAAAGAACAGGTAGACAGAAAATGAGTGATATCAAAGTACATAGAGCAGTGTGACAGGATAAACACTGTGAAGATAAAGGTTAAGGCAAATGTCCAAGCTGTCAAGGAGTGAATACGATTTTCAATCATGTTACCAAGAATCCTCAACTACTCATTCCTTTCGTCTCGAGAAGTCCAATCAGGCAGTCTACCTCTCCCAACACGCCTCCAACCAACAGTTAAGGACTTCGTCGACTGATGCCACTCTGAACACTCTTGCAACCGAATACAACTTCCTCTCGGATGACACGTTGAGGTAGGCAGTGGCTCGGTCCACTAAGATATACAACTTCATCAATCGATTTGCCTAGTGATCTTCGCCTCACTTCAACATTGTTTACACGGTGAACCCACCAAATGTGAGCAATGATATGAAGACATCTATAAAAACCCTGTTCATATCTTCCGCTTATAACGGTCATGTCTCACAGCCGTACAACAGGCTAGAAAGAAATGCAGTGCAGCATACTAATTCATTGGTGGATATTCGGATATCTCTCCATTCAGCGCCACAAATGACGCAAGTTGGCTGATGTTAAACGGGACTTCTATATCCCAACTGAGATTTCGTCAGCAACCAGCCCGTTTAGGCTCATGCAACTCCCCCCCCCCCCATTTCACTCTTTATCAGTGAACTGAGAGTCCTTGCAGCAGACAAGACGCGGAGCATCATCTTAAATTTGACAGGCTCTAGTGAAACGCATGTCAAACATATTTAGATTTCTGCTCGAAGCATCCAGAAGACCCTGAATTTTCTCAGCGTCTTCACTTTAGAGAACAATATCTTCTGCATACTCCAAACCAAGCAGACAATCTATTCATAGTCGAAAATTCGACATCACTTCCTTGATTCGCTCCGTAGCTTACAGGATGGGAACTGAAAGATAACCGAGAACTGTTGCTCCACAGGGTTTTTCAGATCGATACATTTGCTGCTTTAGGAAATCTTCTTCGGGACGACATAATTATCGACCAAAGTGCTTCAGAAATAATGGAAACCTTCTACTGATTGTCCACCATGGTGGTTACTTAAGACATTATCTCGAACCCACATTTCAATTGATTTGTCAAGTTATCCAGTGGGACACCGTCTCTTTCCTTGTGTATGAAGTTAGTGGCAACTAAGATGTTGATTTAGAAATTATATTCAGATACAGGTGTTTGTAAAACGGTCTGCATATAAGTGCCTTTTACAATTCTTCAGATTACACCAATGAGACCTCCAGGAACACTGCCCAACGGATACAAATTCTCATCCAAAGGATACGATAATACGCAGCAAACAGAGAATATCATCAGAAATCTGAATACAGTAAAGATTCAGAACGTGAATAAAAACCAATCTGCTGAGGAAAACCAAAGGGGAAACGGAAATAAGTAAGTAGGTATTAGAGTAGGGAACCGTTTTTTTCTATGGATTGGTTGTTTATTGTATTTCCTTATTTATATTATATATATATATATATATATATATATATATATATATATATATATATATATATATATATATATATAATATTATATTCCGTCGTTATCTAATGCCTTCCAATGGATACAGTGATCCACTTTTTTAAATTCTCAGGCTTATTGACTCAAGTAATCTAGAAGATGAGGTGCATATGTCATACTTTGCCACTTGTAAATTAAACAAGTAGATATTTGCACGCGGTGACCATTTAGCATTCTCTAGAGGTGAAGGGTGTCAAATATTCGATCGACATTTCACCGGGTAACTCGAGACACCGCCTTAACATCGGCTGGGATAATCAACTAGGTTTCGTTGTTTCGGTTAGACAAGTAGTTTTCCACAAAACAAAGAAATCTAACTGGTTAAACTAGTAGTTGCTAGAGTAGTCTTTAGAGTCACCCCATTTCACCACTAGACATGATGAATTTATCAGAACAAAGAAGAGTTTCTATGAAACATTAATAACAGAATACAGAGGCTCAAATAACACTGAACGATCATCACTCTTACTCTGTGATACAAATCGTGACTGTCTATGGTGAAGTCGCGTCTCATCTACTGTTTGAGATATTAATCAGGTCTACTCTTTTGAGGATTGAAAACTAACTAAACACTTTGCCGTAAAACTACACGTATGTTATGTGTTGCATAGGAAACATCTGAAGGAGCATAAGAGAATAGTTAGTTTAGACAACATAAGAATTGGCAGGATATTGCTTAGAGTATCAAATAAATGTGCCATGACAGCAAGATGAAGAATGAATACACAAGTGTCATCATTATTGAAATATACCACAGAAGAAATAGAATAGTTAAAAACCACTCAAGTTGATTTGCAGATTTTGCTGCCTAGATCAGAGTGTGATCTAAACACCAAAAGATGGTTTGCAGCCAAGCTCATCAGCGGTGTACCCGGACAAATTTAGTTCACAGGTCGGAATGGTTTAGATCACTTGGATCTGTCTAGCTGACTTGCATGGACTGGTATACCATCATTACTAGCCATTAGACCTCAAGATACCGAATTCTAGGAACAAAGAAACAAACCAGCACATTTTGTAACATATTTTAGCTAATAAATGAATAGATTGGTACTGCATAAGATCATATTGATTACCATTAGGTATATATTATTAGGTAAAGACAAACTTATGCTATCAACGTCTGTCGACGACATTAGCAGAAAATTCGCAATATCATTATAACCACACCGTAGAATCAGTATGAACGCCTATAAAGGGAAAGTATATTACCAAAATTGTCATTAGTCATCAAAAAGACCACTGCTACTGGGAATATTTATATGACTGATGTATTGGAATGCATTTCGTTGAAAGGTAAGACTGGTTAGTATGATTTAGTCTGATATAAAGATTTTCGAGTTTCATACATAACTTAAATGACCTTAAGACCGTCACGAAATATTAATACTAAGTGCCAGCGTTACCTAAAAATTTCTAAAATGTAATGTAACGTTTTTGCAACGCACAGTTCACCTGAAAATATAACTTCATCGTCGGGTTAACAAGTAACAACTGACTCTTGTATGGCAATAGTTTTACACAGAGTTACCACGCTGTATCAAACTTTTAAACCAGCATATTTTCAATGGTTTCAAGCAATCTCGATGACCAGATGAAAGCAAAACTATAGGATGAGATTATGGACCGCAACTAGGTAACCGCTGGTTGACTACTTTGAGTACCTGTCAGCGACTATATACAGTAGTGAGCACACTGAAAACCTCTCCATCAACCCCACACTCTTATTTCGATCAAATTAATAAAACCAGTGGTTCGGTATGTGTAGCAGGTATTCACAACCAGAAGAATAGAATTTAGACACTGGGGTAGAATACAATCCAACTATAAGTGTTGCTCGTATCAGAAAGTGAAATAGTATTATTTATGTTTCAAACACAATTTATTATTCAATATGATTATGAACAACCTAGGTAATTGGGCACAAACCAAGTTTTGCTTACAGCCTAGTACACAAACCTGTACTTGATAGAAAAGTGTTCCATTTTAAATATGAATAATACCCTTTGATCACTAATTGTAATGATGGTTGGTATTAGAAATGCGATATTTTTGCTTACAGGAAAGACAAACATTTCCACGAGAATAAGATTAGGGTGCAACCAAAAAGTATAAATGTAAATTTAGTTCGATTTATTTTGATCGTTAAGTTATATAATTCATCTTAACATACTAAAGCAGAGTATATTCAGCGAAAAATTGCTAAAAGAACAATATGAGCAATCAATGTACTGTGTTAATCCACTTTATTACTTTGCGGGGAAAAATTATTATCAACTAAGCGCCTCCCCTCCAATTAGGTTTAACTACATTAGTAGATAAATTCCATGCTTAAGAGAATAATCTCGGATATAATTATTCTTATACAGAATACTTAGGCTTCCATCACTTTCACCAGTGGAGAGTAATGCTATGAAAAGAACGAACCAAACAGATTCCAAAAATGTACAATGTCCAGAAATAACCTACTAACAAATATGATTTCAGTAAAATCAATCACTTACCCAATCATCAATAATGAACAATTGAAATTATCAAGATTATGCAATAGTGCACAACTAACAGAAAAAATCAATTGATTCAGAGAATCCCAGTAACAGAAATAGCATTGTTCTTTACACCGAATTCTCCAGTAGCACTAAAGTTAACTCTATTTGAAAACGATAAGGTTGCTGGGATCATTCTTAACAACTCTACAAATCTGTATGGAACTACACCAGAATGCAACTTTGTTTAGTTGAAAGTCACTTAGACCTGCATATACCAGGAACAAATTAATTTATTCAGAAATCATTTCTGTTATATACATATACAAGATGTTTATTATACAATTTCTACTGATCCATACTATTGTTAGTAGTATATACAACGTGTTTTATGCATTGGGATTGAGGCATCAATTTCTTCAGCATGTGAACGTCGATAATTCCATAAAAAGTTATCCACCATAATTGAATTACAATCAACATTCTTACTTCTTAACGATTTGACAATATTCTGAAGAGAGTAAAAACAAAACATATTTATACTTGATGTGGGTTAAGCTAACTCTTGAACTGTTTGTACATTACCAACTTATTTACTGAGCGCGAAAAGAATAGGGCAAATCAATGTAGAAGGCATAAATGTGTAATAGTCATACTGATTTTAATAATGTATACTTAAAGGATATTAACTAGTATGATTTGAATATATCCTATGCTGTTTCTCCATTCGTTCTAATTTAGTCTTACTGAGCACTAGTTTAATTTGTAGTTGCTAACATGTATGGAAATGTAGTCTAAAATAGATACTTTATTTGCGTTTAAAACAACCAAGAGATAAATAAAAACCCTTGATATAATTGAATTCTACGGAAATACCAGTGTACAACTTAATGTTTCACAAAAACTACTTTGAATTTTATGTTTCTTGAGGCTGACAACAAAAGTAAGGGATGCAGCTACGCCCTTGATTTCGAGGTAATGAGTGCTAGATTTGAGTCGTGAATGAATAAGACTTAGGTACATTTAACTGATGAACCGAAAATGAAATCAAACGTGCGTCTTAAATTCCACTGCCAGTCACTACTAAAAAGGCATATAAACAGATACAACTAGGATTTTAATCCGATATAACAGCATGCATTTATAACTTAGCAAAGTATATTTCAGCTCAGTGTCACTTACTTGGTGAATTTGCAGGCTATACTGTTAGTCGAAGATTGCATCCCGATTCCACGGTCGGTGATGATGAAGAAACTAAAACGTACTGCGATAATAAACCTTAAATGCTTCCAAACAAAGCATAAATTACTGTCTTTAGCTTGGTCTCTATAGTACCTGAATATGACAATCCCATCTCATATGACAGCATCTACAATTACCGGATGGCGTCTAATTTATGAACATTTAATTCCTTCTTTGACAGTTACTTCCCAGAAGATGAGTACACTTCAAATATACCACTTGAACATTCGACTAAAAACCTGCATATATAAGAAAAATCCTATTTAATGATTATATTACAAGTCTATATTGATAGTACTTAAGCAGGTTGATTGTTAAGAAATTAATACGATTTACGAAGTTAATAATACTATAACAGTGGCTTACATGTGTAGCTAAAATTGTTGCAGCCCGAATTTCAACTTCAAACTTGTTTCCGTTTTCAATTTCTTCACCTAGTGATGAAATAATACAGAAAACATGAATTAAGAACCAGGTAAAACCCTTTTTTAGTGAAAACACAACTCAGAAGCCAAATTTAGGTAGGCAGTAAGCTTTACTTATTACAGAAACGTCAACAATAACGCTTGACAAAATGTTGGTAGACAGAGTGAGGTTCAAACTCATGTTGTGCCTCACTAGTCGAGATACTCGATTCTCAGCTAGTGGACTACGGGTCCATAATGAGGTTTGGGAAATCAAGTACCATTGACCAACAAACAACAGATGTAAATCATTGCCTAAAGCATGAAATTGCAAATGAATTGAGTTTTATCAATCACAGTTGGATTTCGAAACTGTGTAAATTGGACTTTAATCTGATCGACGCAAATAAACTGAAACAACAGTGCAGTAATTCAACACAACGGCACATGTAGATATAACTTACGATAGAAGAATAAAAGTTGTATGCAAATGTACCACTTGGTTCGATTCTATGACCCAGTAGTGATTACTTCATATTCGGAAAAGTGACGATGATCAAATAACTTCAATATCCCCATTTCACCTATGTTTAACGGTTGTAAGTCGTAGAGGAATAGAAGAGAAATGTGATATTCACTGGATAACTCACTCATAGTATTTACGTGAAGTAGTTTGGTAATTATCGGCCACGTTAGCCTCAAAGGCGTATCTTCAAGAATAAGGAGAATAGTAAGGTACCAGAATTCGCAGATCAGCATTGATTTATGTGGTGAGGGGTTCCCACTAACTATCACTGTATTATAAGACCTTGAGAACACATCAAGAGTGCACACACACGCTCATTATATCTGAACTAAACCTATCATATTGTATATTACATATCACTTTTTCTTCCTTAGTAAATGAAATAAGCTGAGTAATTGTTGAATCCATATATGCTTTAGATCAACAATTAGAGATTTCCCCGGTATGTCTGAGAGATATCTAGACACCAGACAAAAACGACTACGAACGCAGTTACTGACCCATACTTCCTCTTTCTACATTTTACACTGGGACCGATTTTGATAATCCATAATGAACTCTGCATAAGTGTACGTCAGAAATTCTAGCGTACGTTTTAAACTGGCTACTTCAAACGTTCATCTAATAGCCTCTTTTCTTCCGACGTATTTTCTAATGACAAAGACAACCCCCTCCTGTATGCCTGATCCAAACGAAATAACAAATACACAATGAACTTAGACTAATACAGTTCACATATCCTATCCCCATATTAAGTTACAGAACAAAGACTTACTAAAGCTACGAAATCACATTTATGACTATTAGAAACAAATAAGTCCATTATTAATCAACAGGGTCACATGATTTCCATAATGTTGAAGAGTATATATTTCACGTAGCTACTCTGAGAACCATAGTCTGCAGTGGAAAATTTATCCAACAATGAGTTAAGGATAGACTACTACCTTTGGCTACCTCAATGTGTATTTACCAATCTACTTGTTCGTGTGGCGCAAAGCAAACTCGCCGTATATACAGCCATGTCCGTAAACGTATTACATCCAGCATAGCTATCCAGAGGAGAGAAAAGGAATGTCAACAATTTTATTCTTGAACACCTCATCGTCTCCGGAAATCTGAGGAATCAAAGTAGCTTATTCAAAGTAATTTGGAGAATGCTTCCCTATAATTCTAAAAGACGACTGTATTCTCTATACATAGCCAAATTATCGAGAATTCTCAACGTTGAATCTGATCTTTGTGTTCAAAAATGTCGCGTGAATTCACTATCTTCAGTATGACCAGAGTAATACATTCCTTCTGTCTTTAGAAACAATCTCTTAGTCTACCTTTAAACATTATAGCAATCTTGTGACGCTACTGACTATCAGCAAACTGTTATTTGTATTTATTGCTTTCAGATAAGATTTCACAGTTTTAGTAAATGAAACTGTCTAAAAAATCCTATCTTCCCTGCTACGTTTTTGCTCATCTCAATGCTGTGAGAGACGCTATAAATAAATATCATATATTCTTTATTTTTATCGACCGACTTAGCGGTTGGTAAACGCATTAGCCTGTTTTCCTTCATAATTATCAATTTTGAGTAGCTGGGAACCAGCGATAGGCAGTACATAACAAAAACTCAAAGATAAGGAAGCCTAGCACTGTACATGAATAATACCTTTTCGTATCTTCGTAATTAATTCTTCACTGTATTCTATGACCCCAAAATAATGTAACACCTGAGGAACTCTAGAGAAAGTTGTATGCATGAATGCCAAGGTTAATACCTATAATCGGCAAAGGCAGTAATTTCGTCTATATCATGGAAAAATCCAAATCCTTTTCCTTCAAAGCAGTACCACAAATCACCAATCAAAATCTGAGCACGCTTCATGAAAGATACTGAAGAAATTATCAATGAGAGCAAATACCATTTTTTCCTTTGTATGATGCGTAATCTCGAAAGGATGGGAAATAATCACAAAGTAGTATAAGAAGTGTTGAAGCAGATTTATCGCATTTGGATACAACATTTCTGAATGCTCCATCGAAGTTTTCCAGCAAAGTTTTCCCTGCGTTTTTCAAAGAATTCAGTCGTTCATTAAACAAGGGTATGGATTCGGTGGTATTGGAACGAAATATGTGTTTCAACTGTTCTTCTGTCATGTCTTGATACACTGCTGGGTTCAGAATATCTATTCCCTCCTGGAACATTAAGCAGTAATAGTTAAGTTGCTCAACTTACATCTATAGCTCGATTAACTGCTGCACACAGTGCCCAGTAGCCCACATACACTTTACTTTTGTATAACACTTCAAATTGTGTATCACTGTTACTCCAAAATGAAAAATTGAGTAAACTAGTCACAAATATCCTAAATCACCTTCGGAATTTATGTATTATACATTACCATTCAACTGCTTGCTCGTCTGCAACATTAGGTGTTAACTCTTGTTTGATCCAAACATCTAGAGTAAACGGGATATAATTACAGTTTTCAAATATCTTAATCTTTTAGAATATGTTACTATTTTAACCGACCATATCTGCCATTTTCTGAACGCCATCACTTTTGATACTCACATGTTCCGCGTTTTGCATGATAAACAAGGCGGAAGAAAGAGGTGATAAGTAGTCCATCGGTTAAAAACGTGTTAAGTAGAAAGCTAGATTCAAAATATATAGCTAAAAACAATGAAAGAAAGCAAAATTTGATTACTGAATGGCTTAATGAATGGAACAGCGCAATAAAATACTACAATGAAAAGTGTAAATACTCACTAAACATTGCAGCAAAAAAGAGAAAGGAAGAGTAAGAAACTGACTAATTCAGTATGACGATTAAGGTGAGGATAGTGAGTGCATACGTCTGGGCTATTGATATTGTTCCTGAGCCCTGTCACCCAGTCTCCAACTACTGGTTTCCGTTATCACGTGGACCCAAACTGTTAAGTCTACATTCCCCTACACAGCTTAGATCGACAGTCACAGACTTCAAGCAATCAAGGCATGTTTAAGTCAGACCACCTCCAACCCTTTTCCAGAATAAATCTACTTCGTCTAACACTGTTCAACGATACAAACGGTGACTAGGCATGAGGAACATGCCTTAGCCACCACAGTCGATGAAGATTTACAAACTCACCAAATAACTCTCTTCTCTTCCCATAAACCTGACTTTGCATCACTGATGTGGTGACACTACGACACACGGTCTATACTGCGAAGACAACGGTGGTCAAGTAGTTGAAGCTTCATGTCCTCCACCACACGGTAGAATAGTGCGAAATGCAGCGCAGTACACGTGACCCTTAACAGAAAATCGAATATCACTGCTGCGCGATTAATGGAGTAAAATGGCAAACGTTAGTCGGACCTTTTGCACCCATCTAGAAGATTCCTCCGCCGTGGACCCACCACGACTGATCCTACTTTCTAGGTAAATGAAGTGGTCAAAGCACTCAACTACCTCACTCCCTAAAGGCATCAGCGAGGACCGGTCTTGTAGCAATAGTTCTTTTTGGGTGGTGACAAATTGATCTTAAATATTCTGAAGTCGCCACTCAGTAGCCAGAAGGCTCTTTATTTTCCCAGTGTCCTTACCTAACAAAAAGATGCCAGTTGCGTCCTCCAGATCTACTAAGGATTGTCCTGTGATAAGATCAATTCCCTTGAAGTCACACGACGAGAGGGAGACCTACAAGTACACCTATAATGAAACAAGAATGGAGAGAGTGAACATTCATAATGTACACCACTCAACGAACACAACTCACCATGGGATGTGGCATCCTCACAAGTGTCCGAGTACAGAGCCTTCAACAGAGTAACATACTTACTAGGTAACCCAACCAGTGAGAGACTGCCATAGGATCATAAAATCGACGGAGTTGAATACCGCCTTCAGGTGAAAAAAAATGTACCGTGTCGGATGTGCTTACGTTTCACAATCTGGTTAACACGGCTGAATTTGAAACTTCCTTGATTTCCTCACATTTTCCGTTCCTGAGTTCCACTCAGACATCTAATCATTATACAGCAGACACTGTTATGCATAGACAGACTGCCGTAGAACATGTTATGAAAGTGTATCGGTTCAAGTTGCCACATCTCACAGAAGTATGCAAAGTAGGTAGGAAACAAGTGTAATAAAAGTTGAGTGTGAGAGAAGACTGCATAATTGCATGAAAATTAACACCAGTGTGCACACCTCTTTGACGCTGTAACTGACTACAGATCAAATCGCCAAAAAATTTAAAATACTGATTCCCAACATCTCGCAGACTCCATCTAGATAGCCAAAATTTTTACACTGCTAAGCTCGACGGTCAAAGACTTTGGAGACTGTTAATGCGCATTGACCTGGATGCTCTCGGCCTCTTACCTAACCAAAATTACTTCGGCTCCCATCGCAAAGCGAAAAGTGCAGTGATTTGGCATGCACTTCGCAAATCCGAGCAAACTCAGCTGGTGAAGATTGTGACTAACAGAAACCTAGTCAAAGGGTATACGCACGTTTATGTAGTAAGCAATGCCCCACGTCTATTCTGCGAGGGGTCATGATATTAACTGGTAATACACACATCAGTGAGTGGGATAGGGCTTGAAAACTCAAGGATTAAACTAATGCGTCACAGCCCAAAATATAACTATTTGTATGACGTAACTACAGTCAGATGAATACATGCAACCGCTCAATGTCGCTATCATATCCACACAACTCAAATGTGATAACCAATTGACAAAAAGTGCGATTGCGGTCGATTTCCAAAGACTTCAAGATCACGCACCAAAATAATTCAAAGGGGAATTATTCTATCGCCCGTCAGTGGGAAAGAAAAAAAGAAATTAATTTGAATAGGTTTCACCGTTTAGAATAAAAAAAAATAGCGGTAATTATGAGAGTTATCATAGTTCTAAAACCGCGTGATTCATAAACACTCGGGTATTTTCAAAAAACAATCGCCTGCAGTTTGCAAAAGCAACCAAATATTCATTTAGACTAGAGTAGTAAATCACATTATCCGCAATTGAGAACAAAGCGCGTTCGGAAGCAAGAGGATTTCAGAGAAATTTAGATCTCCAAAAGTATAACTACAACAACGACTAGCACAGGTCATTCGGCCTACAATGCCAATCAGGAAAGAAATCAGGATGGGTGAGGCCGAAAGTTTTCCCTAGGTGTTACCGTGTTTGTTGTAGGATGTAGCATGTGTGGAAATTCGTGTATTTTCAGTATGCTGTATGCATATTCTACTCATTCTTATAGTTGTTAAAATGCCCTCAGCTACTGAATCATATTTTATGTCGTTTATTCACAAAGTATTGGCTGCGATTCCACCTCCTAGTTGGCATGTAAGTACATTTATTTACGAAGAATGATGTTCATAAATCAAAGTAAGTTAACTGAGCCTTTATATTGCAGGAAAATGGGTTTATGACTACAGTTTTCACTTCAAATTATATGCTTGAAAAACACAAACTATGCGTATTTTCATACAGAACACTATAATACTTGAGAATAACTTGTAGCCTCACCCACCACAACCAACGATGACACATAGCCCAGTGTAACGACTGGTTGTTGATAAGATTTCGTCTAGCCTGTAAATAGGTACGCTATTGCAGGGAGCGCGCAGAGCAGTGTGTCTGGTGGTGGCCATGAGAATCTGGAAAGGAAAAAAAGGAAGAGAGAGAAGAAAGGTGAGCCGACGACTCAGCAAACACATAGGATGTACCTACACTGAATAATAAAAGATAACTGTCAAGCAGTAGAGCTGGAAAACGAGGAGGTGAGGCGGTCTGGAGATCGAAACTCCAAGGTGCGATGTCACTGTAAGCTATCCCGAAATCGAATTTGGCTGGCTTCTGTTTCCAAGCGACCTTGAGCCAGATAAGTGAAGCGGGTTTCTCATATCTAATCGTGCTCAGGTAGTTTGCTATATGGAATTGGCTGAAGTGTACGTAATATACTCCAAATACTGGGGTATTTTGTTGTAGGAGATTTATATTGTCAACAACTACCTTTTGGACACAAGTGATTAGTTTTTTTGTTTTTTTAAGAAGTATACATCAAGATACGTAACGATGGCTCTGATCCCGTATGTTTCTAACTTTCATTGAGCACCAGTTGGTTTTGTAACATTGTTGTGCAATGAGAATTGTCAATTCCCCTGTAATATGCTTGCTGCTGCATTTTCCTTTCGTTATTTAATGAGTAATCTGCATTTTTAGGTAGGACATCCAAAGCTTCTGAGAATGCTGCAGTCTCAGTAGACATAACTGGAGCATTCCAGGAAGTGGTGTTGTCGGAGTCATTCTTCAGCTGGAAACCGGTTGATTCCTTCACAATCGCTTCCAGGTCTTGCGAAGCGGCTCCAGTTATTTGGTGGGTTCGGATGCAGTAGGTCTACGCACTTACTTGCTGTAGCTCTGGTTAGCCTGACGGGCAGCCGGGTTTTGATTAAATTTGTGAGGATCGCGTTGTGTTTCCAAGGTCTGTGGTGTAGATGGGTTTGTGGCGTCATACACTTCCCCAAAATCAATAGCCTAGGGTTTGACGACTTTCGACATTGATGCTTACCTTGATAGTTTAACTTGACTCGCTAAGCTGAAGGCACCCGGTCAAGCATCCTCGCCATTTAGCACGCTGTCATGTTACGTTGCATTGCTCGTATTCGACTCCTTAGCCAGTTAGTTGGAACGCATCGGTATCTTGGCATATCCATCCAAATATACTATTCCATCCGACTACGCTATCGTGTTCTACCTTGGTCTCGTATTCGTGGGTATATAACAAGTTCGAATAATCAGTGAGATAATCAAGTAAGATTATAGAACGGGTTGTGGAAATGGAGGTAATAATACCAGTGGTAGGCAATGGTAACTATAGCTGTCAGCATTGAAGCATAGGTCTAGCCAGGTTCGCAATGGTAGTAGCGTTAAGAGATTCGGCAGTGGGCTGGCTATAATGAGCCGTGCGGAGTCATGAGGTTGTGCCAACGTGGTTCGTGTCCAAGCCCAAACCATTCGTTGCTGTTGTGTGTTTTAATTTCATTCTTCTAGTGTATTAAAAAACACTGACCACTCATTTCGTTTGACTTCATCTAATTTGCTTGCACAACTATATTTAACCTCTTGTTTCGATTAGTGATACAACTGTATTTCGTTTTACATAGGAACTGCAGTAGCCGTCGAAATTACAGGTTTCTAACTAAGTTTTGTACATAAGTTTCGTTGTAAAGAACAATCTTCGCAAGGTTCACCTACCGTTTGAATATACGTTCATATTTTGGCAGCCAATTGTTTTGAACTTGGCTGGTTTCCCTTTAGGTTTCGGGAACTCTGTAAATTCGTATCTTCGTTACGTACCACTTAGTGTACTTGACGTAACAGTCGCTGCATAACTGTCTAACCTCTACTTGAAGCTGCCAGTGGACGGAGCAGCAACAATCTCGACAGCCAATGAATTTCAGCGGCCGTAAACTCGCAGAGAGAAATATGAACGCACACGGGTTTTCACCCTTAGGTGGGCGATTCTCCTTGGGTCATCATGAGGATCGCCGCAGTGGCTGTCCGGTAGGATTTGACTGCTCGGATGCCTTCGATTGCCTAGTGTTTTATAAGCTTTTATCGAGCCACTGTGTAATCTACAGCAGCGAAGAGAGTAGAGCCGTAGGTCCTTCAGCATGTCTTCATTGGGTTTTTTCCTCATTCCCACGACACTATCTGGACTTCTTCTGGAAGGTTCACGTCCCTTTTCAGGTATGATAGTGCAGTGACAGACCTCCAAGTGAGGTCGTGCGTGGGTCTTGTGCATCATCTGTAAGAGTCCCAAAGTGAGAGCGTCTAGTTGTTTGTCCATGAAATGCAGTGCTGAGTGGGCTCTGGAGGCAGCTACTGGGCAATTGGAGTCAGTGTCCTGTTTGCCGGTGGGTACTGGTCCCGGGTGCTTCCTCGTGGTGGTGTGGGAGAGTCATGTTCCACAGAGAGAGTAAGGTACTTTCTGACAGTCAGAGGTGCTGTCCGGACTAAATGCTAGCCCATTATTGTCCACCCACTCTGCGAGCAATCTGAGATCATTTTGTGGTGCACTTGGTTCTCCTTTGGATGCCACTGCTCTCCAAAACTTAGCGTCGTCAGCTTAGGGCGGAACCAGGGAGTTGAGGTTGTTCGCGTGAAAAGAAACAGACCTGGCCCCGCACTCGTTCCTTATGATACACAGGATGATGATATCCCCCAAGTTGGGCTCAGAATTCTCTGCCATCTAGATGGTCTTGTAGCTGGGAGAGCACTTGCCCTTTTAAACCCAATTCTCTATATTTCGCGGTTGAGAATGGTGTGCGGGAGTGCGTCAGAGACCTTAGCAAATCCAGAAATTCGGGGATTTGGAGACCCTAGAATGCAGCACACCTATCACCGGCTACCAGAACGTTTGAGGCGCGGAACCCACCCTTTCTGACACCAAACTTTGCATCACTCAGCGTTCCCCTCTCGCCTAAGTACTCCCTTAAATGGTGGTCTACTAGGACCTCCATTGCCTTTGACATCACCGGTAGGAGTGTTATGGGTTGGTAGAGAACTTACCGCTTGCCCTTTTGAGCTATAGGACTTGTCTTCTGGTGCAAATAGCCTTCGACGTATTTATACTTCGTCTTTCTCCGTAGAATGGTATCCACTTGGAGTCCCATTTGTGTGGCGGTTCCTCCTATGCCAAGTTCCACCCAAAGCGTCCTTGAAGCGCCTGCAGTGGGCTGGGGCGCCATCTTCAAGAAGCTTCTGATATGCAGCGCAGTAAGCGCAAAAGGTGGTGGAAGGATAACAGTGCGGGCATCGGGTCCTACAGAGGGCAGGAAGTACCGCAATTCAGGTTTTGACTATGGTGCTCCCTGGTCCGTCCAAGATGTTAGACCAATTTTGAATGTCGATGCCAAGAAGTTGGCATTCAGATGATAAGCTAGCTGTTGAAATGCCGTCGACGACCATTAGGCGGCAAATAATTCCCCAAAATCCACAGCCTGGGCTTGACGAGATTCAACATTGTTGCCTACTTACTTTTTGAGCTGGATGCAGTCGGTCAAGCATACACGCCATTAGGTACATTGCCACGTTTTTCTGAGCTACTTGCACGCGATCGTCCGACCGGTTGGTCGGAATTCATCCATATTTCGATACAGGCCATCAAACATGCTATTCAGTCCGGCTATTGTCTTGTGTTCTTTATTAGCCTCGCTCTCCTGGGTAAATGAAGAGCACGAAAAATCAGCGGTTGGCCTTTAATTCCTCTAAGTTCACGTGAAATCAATTCATGAACGCTGCATTTGTTAACATAGACCGTTGTGAATAGCGCCCTACGTTGACCAAAATTCGTGCTCGGAAACCACCCACGAATTATGATTGAAGTGACCCTGACAAGACTACGTGCAGCGAGGTGACATGAATATCAACCAGTTATTGCTGCCGCTGAGCTAATACTTTATCTGGAAAAGTCCTATCTTAGGACAAGGTCAGCTCTCAATGAGGAGGACGGAAGCTAGACGCTGCCGCTGGCACCTGAGGAGGTATGTGAACCACATAGCATGAGCAGTTCAAGGGCCTGACTGGGGGCAAAACATGCACGGTCTAGTCTAATCTGACGCCATCAAGGCCAAGGATATTAAAGCAGACTTCAGTAAGTCTTCCACGTCCAGTGAATCTGGGAAGTGGCAACTGGTCAGAAACAACCGGCCTACCAATGTGCCAGTCGTAGTCATAAAACTAACTGTCACAGGGCGGGGGAGCAACGACCAGGTAAGCAACATCCCACCGAAGAGAAAGAGGTTGGAACCCCGTGGCCCTCTGAACACAAGATTGATAGCTTCAAAATTTCTTTGACCAGATATCGCCGGAAAACAATTCGGAGGTTACTTTGTTCAAAATTCATATACTAAGGAAAAAGGGAGCGAATCCCGCTGAAAACGAATTTTCACCGCTTGAGGTCATCATCAAACCAACGGCGAAGAAAGATACCGGTGTGGGGAATGTTCAGAAGTCTCAAAAATTGGTATGTTTGTGCCTAACGATTTGATGATATTGAGCAGTTCTGGAAAGAATAACTAAGGTCTTTATTGGCATCAGGCAGACCTCAAAATCAGGTGGTGCTGAAGCTCCTGTTCATGGAAAAATTGCTCAGGGTATTTCACCGTCTAGCTTACAAGAACGCATGGTCTCCTGAATGAACGGACTTGTCCATGCAATGCATTATTTCTATCCCAAAATAACAAAAACGGAACATGCGAAAATACAGCTGAATAAGTCCTACATTTCTGGCTGAAATTCAAGGGTGGTGCTAACTAAACGACATTATATCTTCACCCTCAATGTGAGACAGCAGGCTACCTCCTAGGTTTGTTGACTCTCTGGGTAGATAAATGAAGGTGCTTGGTCTGGGGGACCTCAGTGCAGCAGGATCGACCACTGCCGACTTACAATAAAAGTATCAAATAACCCGATTGGTCGTTTCTTCGACATTTGAACAATGCATCGCTGGAGCCACCGGGCACAATCATCGATATATCACACCATTTCCAGTCCAAGTATTCTCCCATACATGTGACGCAATCTTCACCAGCATTCGACCGGCTTGTAATAGTGGTCATACTGTGACGTTTTTCAGATTCACAGCGGACATCTTTCGTCAGGCCGGTACCACGGCTAGACTGCAAAAGTGGCAGACGAACATGGCGACTACCAATTCGATGGTCCATCCGAGAATTGGACTGTAAGCCTTGAAGCCTGAGTAAGGGCCACGGAATCTCCCTCCAACTACCACCAGTTTCAGTGACCCAGCAGTTTATCCCATGAATAAATTGTAGAGCGCCAAATCAGCCTCAACTGATGAAGGCATCTTG